TGCGACTGTGACTTGGTCACCCCCTAATGATGGGAACTTATGAGGAAGAAAACCTGCAGCAAATGATTTCTTATTTACTGCCAGGCATGACAAAGGCATTCACGTTCAGGAATCCCAGGAGGGCAAACTGAAGAGACTTTAGCAATTGTTTGATCCATTCCCCCATTTGACAGATGAGAAAACTGAGGCCAGCTTGGTGACCAGCCTCATGAAGTGTTAGGAACTAGTGAGGAACAGGGCAATTTTCTCAAAAGTTCTTGAACTTTGAATGACGTTGAGTGCAGGGGCCAGACACCTTCACAGAGAGGGACTGGGGGGGGGCCCTTAGTGTATACTGTGTGTTCAGCCATGCACCCTGGGGGAGTCTGGTGCCCCCCTCCACCACCTTGGACTTGCCCCCATCTCATGGTAATCCTTAGGAGACAGAAATCTGTCCTACTAACCCCAGCAGTTTGATGGGCTTCTCCCAAGGTGGGTGGTCTGATGAAGGGGCTGTCCAGGTTTCCAGGAAGGGGACACCCCCCAACCCCGGGGGCGGGGATGCAGGCCTCCCTGCTGACTGATCCCACCCCCAGACTCCTTCAGGCCCCAACCTAGGCTTCACTCTTGCCCCGGCACCTCAGATTGCCCCAGGCCGAGCCAAGAAGGAGAGATGGAGCCCTGTGCCGTGAGTCAATTTCTTTATTAATTTTGACATTTGTTCAGCTGGTGTAGGGAGAATGGTCTATACATCAGAGTGGGGGGGGGGATTCTCTCCCGATAACAGAGCATTTGGGAGAGAGTCAAGAAAAGAGTCATTTCCATAACAATTAAAAAAATCAGGGTAATTCCAAAACTTCTAAAAAGCGTCTAATGTGCAGACTGCAGCATTCTCTAGGCATCGTGTGGAGACCCCAAACTCCTCCCCTAACAGCTCCTACTAGCAACTGGAGCGCGCAGCCATGCGGCCGAGGGCCTGGGGCCGGCGGGCCAAGCAGCCATGCCAGGCGCAGCGGAGGGTGCCAAAGCATAGCCTGGAGCCGCGGGGCCCACGCGGGGCTCCACGCGGGGCTCCACGAGGGCCTACTGGGGGCGGCGGCGGCGGCCTGCGGGGACGGCGCGGGGGTCGAGGAGGGGAGGCGGGCCCTGCGCCTGTCTTTCCCCGGCCGGGCGGCCCGCCGCGCTCCTCCCGCCCCCGGCGGAGCCCGCCGGCTCCCGCGGTGGCCCCGGCGCCCGGCCCGACGCGGAGGAGCGTCCCGGCGCGGGAGCCGGAGCCGCGCCTCCCGGGACGCAGCGCTGGGCGCCAGCTTGGCCTCCGGCGCCCGGGCTTGCCCCTCGGACAGCCGAGCGCCCGCCGCCCGGTCGGAGCGGTGGGAGCGGTGGGAGCGGTGGGAGCGGTGGGAGCGGTGGGAGCGGTGAGAGCGGAGCGCCTCGGCGGGCCCCGGGCTCGTGGGGACTGCGGCCTCCGCCGGGAGACGTGTGCGCTGGTGACGGGCACCAGGGCCGCGGGGGCTCGGTCGTGAGGGAGCCTCTGTGCTACTTGGAAGGTCGGATGGGTCTGAGGCCGCCTCAGAAGAGCGGCAGGGAGGAAGGTGACAGGACGTCCGCAAACAAAGGCCCTCGCGAGCGAGAAGAGCCTGCCAGTCTCTCTCCCGGCCCTAGAGGGCGCCCGCCGGGACCGGGCGGGGCGGATTGTGCTGATTCGGGCCTCGCTCCGCGGGAGGCTCCAGTGTCGCTTTAAGGCTCTTCCCTAGTGGCACCGAGGCGAGGAACAGCCCGCTGTCGGTCTCCTTCCTGCTCTGCCCGAGGGCCTGGCCCAGGAGGCGCTCCTTCCGAGCCCGGGGCCTCCCGGGGGCCGGCTGCGCTCTCCTCCTCCGGCTCTCCTCCCCCTGCGCCTGTGGTCAGGAGTGGGCCCCTCGCCCGCCTCTCCCAGCGGGGCAGAGGGGCTTGGTCAGAGTGGGGGCACTGAGGCTGTCCGGCCTAGGCCCCCCATCCTGTGGGCTGCCTGGACTTAGAGCACCAAGTTGGCTCTGGGAGACCTTTTGGGGTGGGGGGTGGCTGACTTCTAAGAACTGGCAGATACATTCACTAGCCCTACTCCCTTCCTTCCTCTTTCACTGAAAGACAGGCTGTAGCTCCTTCTCCTGCAGCCTGGAGAAGTCCTCAGGAGCTGAGCTCTTAGTGCTTTGTACATACTGCTAAAGTGTTTCTATTGGTTTGCATAGTATTTATTGTTTTTCATATACACAAGGCTGATTACTGTACAGTTTACACTTTGAACACAGACTATGATATAAGTGCTTGAAGATATAGGAAACCTCTTCTCTATTGAACACGCTGGTGCAATCCTGGGACAGCCACCGGCCCGCGCCCCGCTGAGTGAGAACACCTTTTCAGAGGGGGTACTGGCTCCCTTTGAGGCCTACAGCTGAGCCTGGGGGGTGTCCTCGCCTCAGATTCTTAAGTCCCTAACACAAGGAACCCCGAATGCACTCTCAAGGTAATGATTTTCCATTGGAAGATGATTAATACTGAAACTGGCAGAGAGAGAGAGAGAGAACATAAAAAAATTCCAGTTTGTCCACAGGAGATTCTATACAGCTTTGGACATCACAGTAAAATCTGTGTGTATACTGAGAGGGGAGAGGTGCTTGTGTGTGTGTGTGTGTGTGTGTGTGTGTGTCTGTGCACGCGCGCGCCTATGCGCGTGTCCTGAATGTCATGTAGAACATTCTGGGAGGAGCGGCCCCCTGGGGAGTGGGAAGGGACCGCGCGAACGGAATGGAGGCGTGTGTCGGTAGGGAAGACTGGCAGATGAGGACATGGCATTAAGGTGCCGAACTGATTTGGTGCCTAGTTTTCTTTCTTTTTTTTTTTTTTTCTTTCCAGGAAGCCCACATGGATTTCCTACAGATGAGGTTGAAAAAAAAGTACCCTGTAACAAGTCAAAATTAAAATGATTTTACAAAATATACCATCCCCAAACACAAAAGAGCCCTTGTTCACTTTCGCGTTCCGCGCTCTTGCGCTGGTTTTCTATCCCCCTCTCTCTCCCCACCCCCCTTCTGGAGGCCTTTGTCCTGATTCCCGACAGAGACAGAGATCCGTGGTCGCTAGAGGCAGGATTGAGGACTGTAGGTCATGCGTCTACAGTCAGTCGTTCATGCGAATAGGAGACCAAAGGAAGTCCCTTACAGAGATCATGCCGTTAGCCTAGAGGAACAGGTGCACAAATCCGTAGCCCTCTGCTCCAGCTCTCCTCCCGTGTGCATGGCAGAGTGTGTGGAGTTCAAGGGTTGGGTGTCGAGGTGTGATCCTGAGGGACACAAAGAGAGAAGGAGTTACTTAGGATCTAAAGGGGCAACTCCCAGCAAAAAACCCAACTACTGAGTTTTGTGCTGGCTGCTGAGGCAGGGTCTGATTCAGGAAAAGCAGCCTCCCCAAGCCAGGCAAGGAGGTGAAAGACCTTGAGCTCAGAGCCCCCTGACCTTCGGGAACTGCCAGCCATCGTTCTCCCTCTCCCCAGCCCAGAGGCTGCCCCTCAGGGGTGGCTGCCCACGCCTGCGTGGGTCCCCTGCCCAAGTGGACGAGCTCCCCAGAAAACCCTCGTGTGTGTGCTCTGTGCCTCAGAGAGGAGGCAGGAGGCTCCCATGCCTGCGGTCCCCTGGGGGAAAAATTCCCTCGAGTAGATCCTTGGACCTAGGAAGGGGGCCAAGTTCATAAGCCAGGGCTTGTGCTAAAGAAGGCAGCAGTGCCCTCCACTTTCTCAGTTCAATTCAGCCAACACGCACTGATGTCTCTCAGTGCCAGCCCTGGGGACCCAGAGATGGAGCAGACATGATCACAGACAGCCTCAGGAGCTTGGGACCTCAGGGGACAGCCGTCCCTCTTTGGCTTTGGTCTACAAGCTCTTACTGTCAAGTTCCTCTGGCTCCGCTCCCCATGCCCTGGGGGTGGACAGCCTCTGCGGTGGCAAAGAGATCTCTTTTTGTAAGAGATCTTTGAAAACAAACGGGTGCATTCTCCCCAGGACATTGTGTATCTTTGGGTGGAGAAGAGCAGCTTTGCCTGCAGAGTGAAGTCCACTTTCTGCAGCTTGGGGTTCACAGGGAGACACTGCTCCTGCCACATCTTGGTGCCTCGTCCCCCTCCTCCTTCCTGGGGCGAGAACTCTGTGTTTCTGGGACTAGCCACTCAGGACTCTGTTTGCAGGACCTTGGGGTGGATGCAGGGGGAGGAGCACACTTAAATAAAGAGGAGCTGACAATCTCCGGGGCGGCGTAGGAAGTGACACAGAAAGGCAGAGACTCATTCCACGGTGGAGCTGTCCCCAGACAGGGAGATGTCCTGGGCCCTACAGGTGACATGGTTACGGAGGAAGCTGGAGGGGGTCAAAGTGAACTCAACTCTGCGTGGTCCTCCAGGGGTGGGAGGGCCGGGCTAGGTCCCCTGCCAGAGGCTGCCACACAGCCAAACACCAGGCATTCTGCTGCTGTCACCCTGAAGGGCAAGACTCTTTCGTCACTGCCTGAGCTTCTCTGTCGGCCAAGCTGGCCTCCTCCAAGCCTTCCGAACCCACGGTGCACACCAGCTTCCTGCCTTGTTCGCGGCCCTCCCCTCACGGATGCTGTCCTGTCCCCTCTCTGCAGAAGCTCTGCTCACCACACTCAAGACCTCTCCTCCAGGAAGCCTCCCTGATAACCCCCCGGCTCCGTGTCATTTCTCTCTTCTCAGCTCTGGAAGCTTCCCACTCCCTCCACTACCTTTCATTAAGAGCGATCACAGGGCATAGTGGGTAAAAGCAGGAACTCTGAAGCCAGCCGGGTTGCCTGAGTTCATATTCTGTCTCTGCCAATTTCCCTGGTCCCATTACTTGCACTCTCTGTGACTCAGTTTCCTCTGCTGTTAAACAAGGGCAGTAACAGGTTGCACCTCATTAGAGGGTGGTGATGTTTCAAAGAGCTTCCGAGTGCTCGAGACAGTGGATGTACACTCTGACTGGGCTCTCTTCCCTGTCTCACACCTGTCTGTGGCATCTCCCCGGCTGGAGCAGAAACACTCTGAGGGCCAGGGCCCGGCCTTACCCTTCCCAGGGGTCCGCCCCCCACTCAGGGCTAAGCACGCCTCAAACAAGAGACCTCGTAAAAGTTTGAGCCTGGGGAAAACAGCCAACCACCTTCCACTTTTCTGCCCGGACACAGCGCAGAGGAGAGAGGTCAAAGCTTAGAGATCATTCTATGGTGACAGCTTTGGTTAAGCTGAGACTCCTGGAGGAGCAGAGATGGGTCTCGTGGGAGCACCCAGTAGTGGCAGGGGTAGGACTGGAAGGCAGGTCTCCCGGCTGCGTCCTGGACCTTTCCACTGCCCTGCACCTCTTGTCCCAAGAGAAAGGTCTCACCCTATAAAGAACGGGGAGAAGTGGCGGTCCTGCTCCGTGCCTGTCCCACCCCATCCCTCTGTGCGGTACCGCCTGTTCCCACCCTGCCCAGTGTCTGTGGCCCTCTCCCCTCTCCCTCAGCCCCAGACTCGCACCCCTGCAATGGCTGGCCTGTAACTTAAAACAGCAACATAAAACATGACCCCCTTGCCTCCCTGCCCCCTCCCAGGGAGATGACTAATTGCTTAACTTTTAAACTTACTAAAACAGTCCACTGTCGGAGCTAACACAAGCTCTTAGAACCACAGTGTCTGAATGGAAAGCGTCTCTTCAAAAGGAAAACAAGAAAAAGCTGCAGCCTTGTTGTGCCGCAGCTTCCTGAAATTCCAGAAGCCAGAGCCATGGCGATGCAGAGAGATGCCAAGACCCAGCGCCTGCCCAGGCTGCAGGGAGCCCAGCAGACGTCAGGGCTGCCCCTGCCACAGCCCTCCAGCAGCCCACTCCATGCCGGTGCTCCCGCACAGCGCACACCCCAAGTCTTGGATCCACCTCCTGGGCCCCAGAGCAAAACCCACCAGTTGCTACCGTCACCAGCCGTCAGGCCTTGAATAAACAGCAGTATGGTAGCGTCTCAAACACCACCAGAAAGCACCCTTCCCCCCAGCTTGCCAGGACTTAGATACAGAGTCCTTCCCAAGGTGGGGGTGACTGGGGGGAATTGATGGGTGAGGGGGTCTATTCACTCTTCACCTGGGGTGGGGGCATTCTGCCATCTTTGAACAAACTTCTAACCTTCATTCCTTGCGGCCCGCTTTTTAAATACCAAGTGTACAACTTGCTATCAAGTCCACGTCACCTCTAGGAGGTTTGGAAGGAAAACCAAAATTGGTCAGAAGAACTCACTCTTCAATACACATAAAAATCACATGAGGAGCTTGAGGCAGAATCCCGAGTTCCAGAATTTTAATTCAGTAGGTCAGGGGCAGGGGCTGGGAATCTGCATTTTAACCCGACTCGACTCGGGTGGCACTTGGAGAAACAGCGGGTGGGAATCGAACAATGTATATACAGCCTTTCACAAACACGCCCCATCCATCATGGAAACCATCCTACAGGGGAAGGGAGTGATGCAGCTGAGATTTCATGGTAGGAACCCGAGGCGTGGCGGGGTCGGCTGACCTGCTCCGGGTCAACCTAGGATGGGCGCTGACTGAGCACAGCTGTACGGCACTCCTCACCACAGCCTGCCCAGGGACCACGACTATTTCTAAACCTCTCAACAGAATGGAAGGAACCGTCTGCAATCTCCCTCCAGGGGACGGAAGCTCAGGGCAAGTGACTAGTGCAAGGCCACACCACCTGGAACGGGAGGCCAGGCTTTGCATCTAGATTCCCAAGCCCCAGCTTTGACTCTCTCTGAACCTGACACAGTAAACTCTTGCCATTCGCAGTGGTCATGTTCGAGAAAGTTGCCAACACTGCACCACTGCTCTTAAGGAAAATGCCCCGTTAGGTTCCTGTGAGCCTCCATTCAGCACATCTTTGTCAAACAATGAATACATAACCTTGTCTCATGTGTGTTTCTGTATAAAGACACCTTATTTAATACTGCTGATCCCGTAACTCCCCGCCGACAGTGCCCTGACTCACGGCCAGTGACTCTTCTCTAACACACGTATTTGTCCCCGTGGGGTATATCCCAGCCTTCTTGCTCTTGGGAACTTGAGACAGCACTTGGGCACTAGGCTTGGGAGCCATTTTAAACAGCAAAATCAACAAAAAGCACAAAAAATGCAAACAATGTGCCACTGAACACAAATTTTTCACCATCGTGGGTGTGTGTGTCTGTGAATGACCACGAAAGCACTGTGTGTGTGTGGGTTTTGGGGTTAACATAAATTTTAGCCAGGGGGCAAATTTGCAAGTGTGGAACCCAGGAATACTGAGGGCTGACTGTACAGGCTCGCGAGTGGGCGGCAGGAAGTACTGAGAGGGTCAGGGGGCCATTGGCCCCTCCGGGTCTGCTCTGCGGTCTTTGTCCTGTTGTGCGGGTGGAGCACTGCCGGCTACCCACCAGGCCCTTCGGGACCAGGCAGGAGCCTGTTCCACACTGCCTCCCTCACCACTGTCCCCACCGCATACTTCCCTGGCCTCTTCTTGGCAGAGGCCCTGGCACCATGCTGGAGCTGGGCTGCCCGGTGCTCCCCACACGCATGCTCAGTGATCTGGAACCCTATCGCCTTTGGGGGTTTCGGTCACCTTGCAGAACATCCACAGAAATTAAAAAAAAAAAAAAAATTTCTAGGTTCCTCCCTTCCTCCCAGCCTGGCTTCTGGGCTGCCTCTTTCCTGTTCAGGAACATGAGTCGAAGGAACCCGAGCCAAACAGAAGCGGAGATGTAGAACCCCTGCTGCTGCTAAGAAAGAATCAGGCAGAAGAGTGCATTTTTCCTTCTCCTCCCTGCTCCTTCAAATTGTTTGCACCTTTGGATTCTTTCCAGGACTCAACCCAGCTAATCTAAACCAGCAGCCTGGTGGCACCCTTGGCAATGCCGGGGTTAATACTGTGACCTCCTTAAGCTGCTGAGGAGCCAGGTCTAATTTTATCCTATAACTGGATCTGCAGTCCTTTTTTTTTTTGCCCGGTGCTGAGGTATGTTGGGAAGCCCAGAGCCAGCACTTCTGGTGGCTTGGGAGGCAGGGGCCCTGCTTTTTGCTGAATGCAGAAAGCCGGAGCCTGCTTTCCTCCTGGCCCGGAGCCAGGCCCTGGGGCCGGGGGCGGGGGGGTGGCGCTGAAATGCCAAGAACGGGATTAGTGCTATGCTGGGGCCACCATGCTTCCTTGCTTCCCGCCGACTCCCACCCCGATGCATCCTGTACTGAGCTGCCCCGAGCTGGGCACAGCGAACGGCCTCGGGGCAGCTCAGTACAGGATCCCTCAGGGAGGACGGAGGTCAGAGCTGGCCGCCGGAGCCCCCAGCACTGCTCGGGCCTGCTGGAGAGCCTTCGCTGCGGCGTCTTCATGGGCCTTCCTCATTGCAAATCCCCACACACCCCCGCCCCTCAGCCACGCGGCCCTCATGCTCCCGCACGCATGCACCAAGCCTCGACAACCCTCCTAGCTCGCTGGGAGGACGCCATCCGCCCCTCGGGCCTGTTCACTTCACCCTTTCCTAGAAAGCAACGGAGCGACCTGTCTCCAGAAGCACCGAAGAGAATGGGCGCCTTGGGTTGATCAGGACTTTCGAAGGGTTCCAGGCTCAAGAGACAGTGCTGTTCTAAGTCTATCGCTGCTGGAGCTCTGCCGGGGGACTTGCGTTGAAATGGCCCAGGCTGGACAGACTCCTTGTGCTCCCCTAGGCCTGTCCCCACCATCCTCCCTCCCCATCGCTTGGCTTTCAGGATAATATCATCACTGAGATTTACCGAGTATTTTCACTCATCAGAGCATTTTCTCAAATTTGTATTTTTGTGCCCCGGGGGAGGTCAATCAGCAGATATTGTTGGCTGTTTTCTTGAGGAGGAAATTGAGACTCAGAGAGACAGTTAGCAGGTTGGGAAACAATCTGGGCCTCGAGGCCACGGCACCCCTGTTCCTCCTGCATCGTGCTGGGGGTGGCGGGACGGGGAGCTCCCCCGCACGAGGGGGAGATGCGAGGAAGTGAGCAGCCATTCCCAGCACCAGCCACTCCTCGAGCACCAGGCCATGCAGAAAGGATGCAGAAAGATGGCGTTACCTCCAAAGAGGTCATTCGAGGGGAGGGGCTAGAGATCACTGCTTCCCCCTTTTTAGGCTGGCCCGCTTCACTATCTGAGCCCCCTTCCTGCTCTCTGTCAGGTCCGGCTGCAGGCTACTCCCTCGCAGCTGCACCTGGAGACAGCAGCAGAGACAAAAGGCAGGACGGATCACAGAGAGACAGGAGATAGGCAGGAGAAAGCATGGAGGCCGTGGAAACGCCGCCTGCCAGAGGGCACGGAGGCACAAGGGGAGACCGGCGGGAGGGAGCGTGGTGCCACCTGAAGCCCAGAGTGGGCGGGCGCACAGGTGAGCAGCCCGTAGAGGTGCTGGGCGCCCGGAGGCCCGGGAGCCTGGGGAGCCTCCAGGAGGCTGCAGCCTCCGCAGTACCTGCGCGTGTCTCATAAAGGAATCAACATCAGCTTCCATCTCACTGGGGTCCTCCAGGGCCCCCTCAGCAATCACCTCCTCATGCTCCTGGGCGTCATCGGCACCGGACGAGTCTATCTGCCGAACGACTTTGCGAATGATCTGGAAAAGAGGAGGGGACGAAGGGCCCGTGAAGCCGTGGAGACAGAGGCTGGGAAGAGCAGGTCCCCTGGCGATGACATCTGGGGGAGAGGCAGCCTTTCTCCTAAGGCACCCTTCCTCCAGTGGCCAAGAGCAGGGACTGGTCTCCCGCCCCCCCCCCACCCCCGCCCCATCACGTGGAAAACAAGCTCTGCGAAGCCTCAGGGGGGCTAGAATTTGCAGTCAGTCCATCGATGGTCAGGGTTTTTGCCTCTTGATATTGTTGGAAGGTCCTGCTGTCTTCCCCACACCACGAGCTGCTGAGGGCAGAACAGCTCTTTTTCATCTATAGGGATTCCAGGCAAGTGTGTTCTCTTATTCCCTCACCCAAATATTCTAGCCCTGTCTATTCTGTGCCTACCACGTCCTGGGACCAAGAGATGAAAACACAAGGCACCGTCCCTGCCTGCATGAGGCACACTTTGCAAGCGGCAAGATGGACACCTGACGGGTCTTGCTTCAATTTACTGGGAGCAGCACCACAGTGGGAGCACATACTAGGTCCCCCCTTTGGCCCTTCTTCTCTCTTCTGCCCAGACCTAGCATGGTGCCCAATACTTGACAGGCAAAATCAGGTCTAGTGAATTAAAAGCTGTGGCCAATTCAATGCATTTCCACAGCCTTTTTGCTGTCGGAGGCCCGTGGGAGTTCGGGGACCACCACCCTGCTGTCTTATTGCAGTTTCCAGGGCTAGACATCGCTGGGCTAGGTTTGGGCTGTTCCATGGAGCCTGGTCCTTCTGCAACAAAGTAGCAGGAGCTGAATTCAGGCGGAATCAGGTAAAGTGGCTATGAGGAATGTCAGGCCGGACCTCAGATGACCAGCACCTGAACCAGCCCGCCCGAGCCGTCCTGACCCTCTGTTAGGGCAGCAGTGAGAAGCAAGGAGGGGAGTCTAGCACCTTTTAGCTTCTAGCCCCGCTGCCTCTTCCCAGCTCAGGGGCACTCTGTGCACCCACCTTCTTGGTGACAATGTTGCCCTGCTCATCTGTGAATTGTTCCTCTGTCACCTGCTCCCCTGGAATATTCTGAAACTCATTCCCCTAGAATTGTAGAAAAGGAGAAAACTCAAGATTAGTAAGTGGGTGGCCTGGGCGTAAGGCGGAGGATGAGGGAATTAAAGAGCACAGCCAACAGTCAGAGTCGGACAAATCCCCACCACGGCAGGCAACTCCAGCTCAGCAAGTAGCAGCGGCCAAACCCAGGGCTCCGAGCACGCGAGGCGCCCCTGGGGGCCGTGGGGCCTGAAGACAGGATGGAGCCCCACGCTTGCAAGAGCCTTGTGTGCCTGATCCCTCACCAGCACCAGGGAGCAGGCAAAACCGGGGCGGTCATGCAAGTGTTACAAAGGAGGCCCTGAGAGAGGAAGTGAGGCACCTAATTTATCTCTGGACAGCCCTTTGCAGCGTGAAAGCCCTTCCACAGACACCGGCGCCCTGAGTGTGACCTGCCCGCTTCCTGAAGCCGGCTGGAGACAGGGGCAGGCCAAGAATGGGCCTCCCAAGTCCCAGAGCGGAGCTGCCCGCGCTGCTGCAGCGCTGGCAGTCCCAGTGGGCTCCACAACCCCCGGCTCCGGCTCCTGACTCGGGGGCCCGTCCCTTCCCCCAGCTGCTGCCCACGCACATGGCGGTGCCGTGCCCTCAGCCCTGTCTCCTGCCTGGCGGTTACCTTCAGGAAAACCCGACGCCGGACCACCCTGGTGGAGATGGTCTCCTCGTCGTCACTCACGCCCTCGCTCTCCCCCAGCTCCTTGTCCAGCTCCTGGTGGATATGTTTCAGCACAAAGCACAGGGAGCCCTTGACAATGTGCATCACGTTCTGACAGCTGACCAGAAAGAAGCCCAGGAGCACTAGGGTGACCAGGAGCTGGGTGATGAAAGTCCACATCCTCACCTCCTCAGCAGCTGGGCCCTCTGGGGACTAGCGGGGCCAGGGCTCCGGCCGCTGTGGGGGTCCAACCTCTCATTCTCCTCTCAGACTCCCACGTGCCCCTGGGACCCCTTGCACTCTCTCTCCACAGGAGACCAGACGGCCCCTCACTAGAACTGCCCGCTGAGTGCCCTCCTTGCCGAGCAGCCCCAGGCTCTGCCCTCACGCCTGGGTGACATCAGGCTTCGATAATTTTAGCTCCCCAAACCAGCTGCTGGGGCTGTCCAACTGGGCTAGAAGGGAGCAGGCAGGTGCGCGTGTCCCGGGCACTGAAAGCGCATGTCAAAGTCACTCTGTGGGTGACGGGTGCCCCGCCCCGTCCTCTTGCCCCACCCACCCCCGCCCCCCAGGCCTGCCCGGCTCATGCGCACTAGAAGCAGTTCTGCCTAGGGAAGTGTTCTCTTTCTGGGACTCCAGGGAATAAGGTGTCCGGAGAAAGTGGCCACTTGTGTGTTTCTCTGGGCGGTTACTGCCGTGGTCAGAATGGAGCTCACCCCCACCCACAGGGATGGGACCGGCTACTACCCTGGAGAGAGAGTTAAGGGTTTACTTCAAAAATAGCCCTGGGATGAGTGATTTGCTCAGGCCTAACCAAATTAGCTCAGCGAGGGCCCAGCGCAGGTGGGGGGGCACCGGGAAGCCCGTGCAATTCCCATCAGCCCCGAGGGCCCTTGGCACACGCTCCGCCCTTCCCCCCCCGCCCCCCGGGCCCAGCAACCCTAAATATAAGCGTGTAACTGGTGTGTCTATTTAAGGCCTGTCCTCAGAGGCTCTTCCCAGGCTGGGCCGTCAGCGCCCACCAGCAGGAACCACGCGCCTGAGGCTCGCCTTTACAGAGGTGATTCACAAATGCAGCCATGGCAGCTGTGGCCCACAGGAATTTCACTTTCCGGATCAGGCTGTGCCGCTCTGAGTAACAGTCCACATGGCAGAGGGAACAAAGATCTGGGGCACAGCCCAGCAACTTGCAACTCACCGACCGCGGGGGCCGGGGAACTCTGGGTGCCTTCCCTGGGAAACAGGGACGGACTGAGATGCTCCCCCTACCCCGTCCGGCGAGGAGCGCCGGGGTCAGAGTACTATCATGACGAAGAGTCAGCGCAGGCCCTCATGCCCTGCGTACTCCGCAGGCATTGTGCTGTGTGTACTCCACGTATGAACTCGGTGAAGCCTTCCGACAGCCCTACCATGCAGGTTCTATGACTTTTCCATTTTACACAAAGGCAATGGAGGCACAGAGTCAAAGAGTAAGTAAATGAAAGGGTCCAATTTCAAGCTCCCGTCACTACACAGTACTGCCTCGTTTCCACAAGGAAGCACCTGGAGAAATAAAAGCCCACCGCACATGCAAAGGAGCTGGGGGCCAGCGAGCACTCGGTTTGGGCCCAGCCAAGGAGAGCCCAACCTCACATATTTCCAGCTGGGGCCTCAGAGAAGAATGTCGCACAGTCATTTCAGGCTTGCCTCCCTAGCCCCAAATTATAGGGCATCTTTCTGTCTCTCCGTCAGTGTTTTCAGAGATCCACCGGAAATACCAGTCAGAGTGCTCGGCAAACCCTTGCCCCCCGGGGTCCCATCAGGTGATTGGGATGACAGCTCATCTATGCCATCTAATCCTGTCCTGGACCTGAAAGGCGGTAGGCCTGGTGGCCCTGCACACTCACTCGCTCTGACTGGGAAGCAGGATCCAGACTCTCCTGGCCCTCACACAGGATCGCTGTGTGACCCTGGAGAAGCCCTCAGCCTCTCTGGGGCCTCAGCTTCCTCATTTATAAACAAGGCAGTTGGACCCTATGACCTAGAAGGTTTCTCCTGTGACCCCTGGAGTGCTCCTGCTTTCTCCCCCGTCCTCCCCTCACCAAAGGCTAGCTGCGGAGGGGCCACGGATAAGAAGGCTCCTGGCATCCTTCTCTTTCCCCAGGAATCAGGAATCAAACCCAGTTAAGAGCACCTGTGCTCTCGGCCAAGTGCTTGCTATTAGGAGTACAAGTGCCAAAGAGGAGCCTGCTGGCCAAGAATGCACAGGGTGGTCTGAGGTTAAAAATGGACACAGCTGCCTGTCCTGTCCGAGGCACATCCTGGGAGAGAAGCAGTCTAAATAAAACCTTACTGGATTCCTAGCAGTTCTTTGCAGACGGCAGCCCAGGAATGTTGTGGAGCTAACCTAGTCGTGGGGGCCCCAGTGTGCCTACTAGGGCTCAGGTTCAGGCAGGGTAGAGGGAAGAGAAAGTGGCAGAAGGCGGGCGGATTGGGGGGGGAGATGAAAACTTCCCGAATGAGGATGAACTATAAGAAACCAAATGAGATGCAGAACACATTGTTTATGCGCACACTAAAGATACACAGGCATAGAACAGCGATGCATACATTAAAAAGGCACACCTTAATGAGATGTCTGGGATTTGTTTCAAAAAAATATGTTGGTGGGAGAGAAGAGAGGGGTAGGTATCAATGAAACAGGATTGACCATAATTGGGCAACTGTCGCGCCTAGGTGGTGTGTGCACGGAAATTAATACGCTGTTCTGTCTTTGTATTTGTGATTTTTCATAACAAAAAAATATTCCCAAACACATTAAAATGGATGTTTATGGGAATGGGAATGGGGAGTGAAGGTAAAACGAACAGATGAAGGAAGTACAGCAGGGCAAACCCGGCGTGGGGAGGGAGGTCTGAGGGAGGCAGGGATGGCAGGTGGGGAGTGAGGTGGGGCGCCTCCCCCGGTCCACCTGCCGAACCCCACCCAGAGGATCGCAGCATTCCCAAGCCAGTGAACCTTGGCAATAATCCATGCACTCCTCGTTTCCTGGTGAGCAAACCAAGGTGCTGAGAAGCGAGTGGCTTGTCTGTGGCCATGCAGACCACGGTAGGACCAGAGTTAGCCTAACACCCAGGTCTCTCTGCCCTACGCCCTTCCTAAAACACAACGGAAAAAGAAAACAAAGACCGTGGCTTTGCAATCAGCCAGACCTAACTCCAAAGCCCACCTCAGATCCTGTGACTGTGGGCAACCTGCCCAACCATCCGCTGCCACATGGGAGTAACAGCTGAGAGCCGAGGGAGCGTGAGCATGACAACCACACAGGCCCTGCCTGGGATCCTCGGGGGCTCCGGGGGGCTCCGAGAATGTTAGCTCCTCCCTTCCCTCAGCAGAGACCGTGACTTTGTATCCTTACTGCTAGAGAAAGTGAGTCCCCGCCACAATTTCTAAAGAAAGGAAGCAGGCTCAGCCCGGGGCTCGCCTGAAGGAGAGGCCGCCCTCGGCCTCAGGCCCCTCCAGCGCCGCTGTGGGCAACGGCAGGTGCCTCTGTGCGCGCCCTCACCTCTGCCATCTGGGAGATAGTGCTCCGAGCCTCCTGCACCCACGCTTGGTGGCTTTGTCGTCTCCGTTCCCTGCTCTCAGCTTCTGACGGCTCTTCCCGAACGTGCTCAGTTGCAGACACCAGGACCTTCTCATACTCCTGAGACCCACTGGGCTCCAGCTCTTGGGTGGTGGTGACCGTACTCCGGAAGGAGTGTGGGCCTTGGGTGACCTCCTCTGGCCAGGAACCTTGGGCAGCATCTTGCAGGTACGAGACAATGGAGCCTTCCTCATCCCAGTCCTGCAGTCTGGGGTCCAGGAAGAGAGAAAGGACACCTGGTCACCCTTCAGTCTCCGGCTGCTCAGATACCGTGCCCCGCCCCCCCCAGAGCTGGAGGGATGGGCCTGCGTGAGCAAATCCCACAGCCCGCACACGGCTGCCTGTCCTGTCCAGAGAGGCCCAGATGGTCCGTCCGTGTTGTCCAGGTGGAAAGGGCCATGCGGACCAGTACCACTGGCCCCATCCCTTTAAGTGGATGGCTCTCCACCCTGGGCTCCTGAGGCACTTGGCTCACCCAGATGGGTGTCAGCCGGGTCTGCACGCCCATCACCTCACCGCCTCCCCTCCAGCCCTCCAGGCCACCTGCCCTCCACAGTCCTTATCCCAGCACTCGTCCAATAAGGTGGCCACTCTCTCCCCTGGAAACATGCTCTTCTATGGCTTCCAAGACACCACATTTGCCTCGTTTCCCCACACCCTCTCTGGCTACCACTTCTCAGTGTCCTTTGTTGGTTTCTCCTAATTTCTCTGACTCCTGAACATGGGAGCACCCCAGGGCTCCGCTCTCAGACCTCATCTCTACCTGCACCCACAGTAAGCTCATTTAGTCCACAGCTTCACACCCCGTCTGTGTGCTCCGCGTGCCCCGGTGTGCACACAGCATCTCTTCCTTGACCTACAGACGTGTAGACCCAACTGCCTCTGCACATCTCTGCTTTGGGGGTCTAATAGGCCTCTCAGGGATAGCACAGTCAGGTCCACACTCATGACCTTCTCCCCAGCCTGTCCCGCCCAGCCTTCCCCCACACTGCAGTATAGTATCTTCGTCCTTCCAGTGGACAGATCGAGGGTACCAGTAAGCTCTGACGTCTCTCGGTCTCTCACACTCCACGTCTTGTTTGTTCAGTGAACCTTCTGGTTTAGCTTTCAAGTATATATCCTGAGCACAATCACTTCTGGCCACCAGCACTGCCACCGTCTTGGTCCATACCAGCAGCAACGCTTGCCTCCTGGCTCATCTCCCTGCCTCGAGCCCTGGCCATGTCAGGCTGCTCTCAAGGCAACTGCCACATCACCTCACTCCTCTGCTCAAAACCCTCCGGTGGCTCCCCATTCCACCCAGTAAATGCCAAAGTCTTTTGTCTTTCTAGAGCCTCAAGGCCTGACATGTCTGGCCCCATTACCTCCCTCAATCACCCTGCTGTGATCAGTGACCTTCTCACTGTTCCTCGACTGTGCCTACTGCAAGGCCTTTGTGCTGGCTGGGCCTTCTGCTGGATATGTGCCCTTGGTATTCACATGGCTCACCCCTCAATTTCTTCTGCTCTTTACTCCAACGTTGTGTTCTTAGGCTTCCCTCATTTCGGCCATCTCCTCTCCACACACTGTACATACGACCTATCTCCCCACCTTTATTTTCCTTTTTAGCACCATCACCTAACTTTTCCCTTTTCTTCTGGGGCGGGGGGGAGAGGGAGGAGAGAGAGAATCTCAAGCAGGCTCTATGCCCAGCATGGAGCCCAACATGGAGCCCAACATGGGGCTTGATCTTACAACCCTGAGATCGTGACCTGAGCCAAAATCAAGAGT